CTACCATTATAACATTTTTATCATCAATGTTATAAGTGCAGACAGTTATCTTCCCAAAGACCTTTGTGCCAGAGAATATGAAATACGGCACACTGAAAATGATTGCTAGAATCCAAATTGCCAGAGCCACAAAGGATGCCAGTCTCGGGGTTCGGTGGTTTTGGCACCAAACAGGGTATATGACGGAGATGCAGCGATCAATGCTGATAGCGGTGATTAGGAAGATACTGGCATAAAGATTGATGAAGAAAACGGCATCATTCATTCTGCACATAAATTCTCCGAAAATCCAGTGAAAAGTCAGGGCTACGGTAACAATTCTGAATATGAGGACAAACATAAAGATGAAGTCAGCTATGGCTAAATTGAGAAACCACACAATGTTAACCGTCCTTTTCATCTTGAAGACGGTGAAATAGATGACCAGCCCGTTCCCTATTGTCCCGAGCAGAAAGGCCAAAGAGTGTCCAATCATGTAAATGATACGGAGAGCATATATCAATCTTTCATCATAGTCATCATAATTTGGTGTAATGGGTATATTGTCGGTGGCAGAGATGGTCATGGCCTCTCCTTGAGTGGCATCCTGCGTTGGATATGACTCGGTGAAACTCATTGTTCTCCCAAAACAGAATCAGGACCAAGAAATACTACAAAAAGCAAATAAAAACAAACATTTTTAATAGTAATTCTAGAAATCTCATGATGAAGAAAGGTATAAAAAAAGAGTCAAATGACTAAACTTAAAGTGTTACTAAAGTAAAAAAATAAAAAATAATAAACTAATAAACATCTTATACTCACCTGTTCTGTGCAGTGGTATTGCACAGAGCGGCCCCGATCCTCCTCTTTATGGGTCCCCTGGCGGCGATTGTGGCTCCACCTCTTCTTAGTGTGTCCCCATAGCAGGCCTATCTTATTTATTTATTTATATCCGTTTTGTATTTTCATTTTTTTTTTTTCAGTATTTTTGGAGAGTATCACTTGGAAGAAAGAAGGATTACCTATGGATTGGAATCCCATCTTGTGAAAATGAAAACCAAAGACTTTTGGGGGTTCAGACATATACACTTTGTTGGACACTAAAAACATTGGGGATGATTTACTAAAGGTGCAAACTGCAAGTGCAGTTGCTTTATATCCAAGGGGAAGCTCTGAAATGAGGTGAAGCTCTGCTGATTTCTTTCATCCAATCATGTGCAAGCAAAAATGCTTTTTATTTATTTTACTTTCATGTTCCTCATAGATCCAGAGCAACTGCACTTTCAGTGCAATTCCAAGTGCACTTGGAGTGCACTTGCAGTGCACAGCCTATTTGCCTTTAGTAAATCACCCCATTGAGGGATGTATTGGGATGTACTCCATTGATGGTTTTGTGATTAATAATTAATTATTATTATTATTACTTTTCCATATTTGGAGATTAATTTTTTTCCCTCCAGACGTAAAGAGCGCCCCTTGTCCTCTCTGATGACCTCAGGGTGAGGAACTCTACACCGAGTTCACTATATGAACCACTGATGTATTTATACATGGAGATCATATCCCCCCCTTATGTATTATACATGGAGATCATATCCCCCCCTTATGTATTATACATGGAGATCATATCCCCCTTATGTATTATACATGGAGATCATATCCCCCCTTATGTATTATACATGGTGATCATGTCCCCCCCTTATGTATTATACATGGAGATCATATCCCCCCTTATGTATATACATGGTGATCATATCCCCCTTATGTATTATACATGGAGATCATATCCCCCCTTATGTATTATACATGGAGATCATATCCCCCCTTATGTATTATACATGGAGATCATATCCCCCCTTATGTATTATACATGGAGATCATATCCCCCCCCCCTTATGTATTATACATGGAGATCATATCCCCCTTATGTATTATACATGGAGATCATATCCCCCCTTATGTATTATACATGGAGATCATATCCCCCTTATGTATTATACATGGAGATCATATCCCCCCCTTATGTATTATACATGGAGATCATATCCCCCCTATGTATTATACATGGTGATCATATCCCCCCTTATGTATTATACATGGTGATCATATCCCCCTTATGTATTATTACATGGAGATCATATCCCCCTTATGTATAATACATGGAGATCATATCCCCCTTATGTATTATACATGGAGAAATATCCCCCCCCTTATGTATTATACATGGAGATCATACCCCCCCTTATGCATTATACATGGAGATCATATCCCCCCTTATGTATTATACATGGAGATCATATCCCCCCTTATGTATTATACATGGAGATCATATCCCCCTTATGTATTATACATGGAGATCATATCCCCCCTTATGTATTATACATGGTGATCATATCCCCCCTTATGTATTATACAAGGAGATCATATCCCCCCTTATGTATTATACAAGGAGATCATATCCCCCCCTTATGTATTATACATGGTGATCATATCCCCCCTTATGTATTATACATGGTGATCATATCCCCCCTTATGTATTATACATGGAGATCATATCCCCCCTTATGTATTATACATGGAGATCATATCCCCCCTTATGTATTTATACATGGAGATCATATCCCCCCTTATGTATTATACATGGAGATCATATCCCCTTATGTATTATACATGGAGATCATATCCCCCCTTATGTATTTATACATGGAGATCATATCCCCCCTTATGTATTATACATGGAGATCATATCCCCCCTTATGTATTATACATGCTGATCATATCCCCCCTTATGTATTATACATGGAGATCATATTCCCCCCTTATGTATTATACATGGAGATCATATCCCCCCTTATGTATTATACATGGAGATCATATCCCCCCCTTATGTATTATACATGGTGATCATATCCCCCCCCTTATGTATTATACATGGAGATCATATCCCCCCTTATGTATTATACATGGTGATCATATCCCCCTTATGTATTATACATGGTGATCATATCCCCCCTTATGTATTATACATGGAGATCATATCCCCCCTTATGTATTATACATGGTGATTATGTCCCCCCTTATGTATTATACATGGAGATCATATCCCCCCTTATGTATTATACATGGTGATCATATCCCCCTTATGTATTATACATGGAGATCATATCCCCCTTATGTATTATACATGGAGATCATATCCCCCCTTATGTATTATACATGGAGATCATATCCCCCTTATGTATTATACATGGAGATCATATCCCCCTTATGTATTATACATGGAGATCATATCCCCCCCTTATGTATTATACATGGAGATCATATCCCCCTTATGTATTATACATGGAGATCATATCCCCCCTTATGTATTATACATGGTGATCATATCCCCCCTTATGTATTATACATGGAGATCATATCCCCCCTTATGTATTATACATGGTGATCATATCCCCCCTTATGTATTATACATGGTGATCATATCCCCCCTTATGTATTATACATGGAGATCATATCCCCCTTATGTATAATACATGGAGATCATATCCCCCCTTATGTATTATACATGGAGAACATATCCCCCCTTATGTATTATACATGGAGATCATACCCCCCCTTATGCATTATACATGGAGATCATATCCCCCCTTATGTATTATACATGGAGATCATATCCACCCTTATGTATTATACATGGAGATCATATCCCCCTTATGTATTATACATGGTGATCATATCCCCCCTTATGTATTATACATGGAGATCATATCCCCCCTTATGTATTATACATGGAGATCATATCCCCCCTTATGTATTATACATGGAGATCATATCCCCCTTATGTATTATAATGGAGATCATATCCCCCTTATGTATTATACATGGAGATCATATCCCCCCTTATGTATTATACATGGAGATCATATCCCCTTTATGTATTATACATGGAGATCATATCCCCCTTATGTATTATACATGGTGATCATATCCCCCCTTATGTATTATACATGGAGATCATATCCCCCCTTATGTATTATACATGGAGATCATATCCCCCCTTATGTATTATACATGGAGATCATATCCCCCCCCTTATGTATTATACATGGAGATCATATCCCCCTTATGTATTATACATGGAGATCATATCCCCCTTATGTATTATACATGGTGATCATATCCCCCTTAATCTCCTCTTCTCAAGAGAGAATAAATTCAGTTCCTCTAATCTTTCCTCATAGCTGATCTCTTCCATGCCTCTTATCAGTTTGGTTGCCCTTCTCTGTACTTTCTCCAGTTCCCCAATGTTAATTTTGTGAATTGGCGCCCAAAACTGAACTGCATATTCCAGATGAGGTTTTACTAATGTCATCTTACCTGAAAAAATAGTTTAAACTTCCCTGCCTGGTCCTATTATATTAAAAGTGAAGTTCTACTCTGCCTTTCTTTACCTTAGTATAGAATTAGCCACACTAATCTCTTTATAAGCACAAACATAAAACATGTAGAAATGTTTGTGTGTGCTAGTATGTGTGTATGTATATGTAATGGTACTTACATGGATTTGCAGCTGTTGATGTTTATTCCCAAATCTGGGTTCTTCTAATGAACTTTGCTGATGGTGTTGAGACATATGTACATATGGTGTGTTGCATAAACACTTACCAGATTTCACTGAGCAGTACTAGGACATTTACAGTAACGTAACTTCCTCTTTCAATGAACGTCTTAATTAAAGCCTATATACAGTCATGGCCATAAATATTGGTACCCCTGCATTTCTGTTAGATAATGCACCACTTTGCCCAGAAAATTGTCACAATTACAAATGTTTAGGCATTCTCACGATTATTTCTTTTGTTTGTATTGGTATGACACAAAAATTGGAGAAATAAAAAAACCAAATTTGACACATTCCACGCAAAACCCAAAAATGGACTGGACAAAATTATTTGCACACTCAATTTAATATCTGGTAGCACACCCCTTGAAAAAAAAACTGAAATCAATGGCTTCCTGTAACCATCAATGAGATTCTGCCACCTCTCTACTGGAATTTTGGAGTGCTCTTCTTTCGTCAACTGCTCCGGGTCTCTCTGATTAGAAGAGTTCCTTTTCCCAACTGCTGTTTTGAGATCTCTCCACAGGAGCTCTATGGGATTGAGATCTGGACTCACTGCTGGCCAGTTCAGTCCTCTCCAGCGGTTTGTCTGAAACAATTTCTGGGGGCTTTTTGACGTGTGCTTTGGGCCCTTGTCCTGCTGGAAGACCCATGACCTCTGATGAAGACCCAACTTTCTGACACTGAGGCCTTACATTGCACTCCAGAATTCTTTGGTAGTTTTCAGATTTCATAGTGCCATGCACACGGTCAAGACTTCCAGTGCCTGAAGCAGCAAAGCAACTCTCAAAACATCAGTGAAGCTCCACCATGTGTGACTGGAGGGACTGTATTCCTTTCTTTAAAGGCCTCATTACTTTTTGTGAAAACAG